ATTTATGCTGGCATTTTATTTTATGGCAGAGCTAAACAAGTTTATACTTGTTGACAGCATTGTGGGCAAAGACTTTATTTCAAACTTCCAAGTAATTCAGCTCATGAACCATTTTTTTTTCCTGCTAGTGTACACTGGAGTGAATTAATGTGCTATGGGAAAGGATTTATGCATGATTCATTATAAAGAGTTATACAAAACGTAGAAAAATTAGGTAGCATGTTCATATTTGAACAAAATTAAAGTGTCAACTGTTGACTTTTAACTGATAAATAATAGTCTAATATATATAAACTAGATATTTGGTTATTGTATTAACCTCAAATGCAATTGAAGTGCATATCACGTAAGAGCAGACTGGAATTTGGATAGAATTTGTAATGTCAATTATTTTTAAAATACTTGAAACAAGCAATAGATAATTTTAAAAAAAGTGTTGGCTTCTCAAATAAATTAGGTTTTATATGCATTTGTATATAAACAAAACCAAACTGAATTTCTTATAGAAAAAAATTAAATTAAAAGTAGGTTGTGGAACCTCAGCAAAAATGTAATTCATGTCAACCTCATCTTCACTTTTAACACAATTATTTCTAATATAAAAATAATGCTTAAAAATGTATGTGTTTCAGCAAAAAGATAGTAATTATGTTATAGATTTACCAGGTAACATAAGGGCAGGTGTTTATACCTTAAAGATGTGAGAAAAGAGACTAAGTAACATATACAATGTCTTTATCCTGTGTTTAGCATTAATCAAAACAGTCGACAATGGTGGTGGCTATGAGTGAAGTAAGGAGACAACATCCCTTTAAACATCTTGAACTTACTCTTTTAATGCAATTGAAAGTACAGCAGATTATCATAGCAAAATTCTGAAAAATTGGGTTGAACTGCACATTTTTTTCATATGACTTTATTGCATTTTCCTCATTGTCCTATTTTCTGTTACATCTACTTGTGATCTCTTGACATCATGGAATTGAAGGCATTGAAAGAGACAGTGGCTTCCTATCTTTTAACTGATATCCATTTTGTTTGAGTATGTCTGGATATGTAGTATTGCATGCTAATTACTGAAAATTTGATCAGCTAATAATCCAAAAGGAAATAGAAGCGTTACATTTAATATTCAAACTCAGTGTAAATTTTGCCTACACACACGCTTTATTTCCAAAATGCATTGAATGTTTCAAGAAGAGAAAAGTAGGGAGGAATAACACTAGTTGACAGTTGAAAATTTTGAAATTATCTATTGAGACAGAGAAGTAAATGTAATGAAATGTATTACCAATGCAATAAGAAAGAGAAGGATACAGAATTTATTTGCAAAGAGATATTGCAGTACCCTCATTCATTTAGTAGTAGAAATACCATGGATTTTTGCAGTTGTTGTTTCCATCCAAAGTGGATAAGAATTCACACTGCTATTAGTCTGCTGCAGAATTTCATGAATTACTAAGAACAGAGTTTAGTGAAATATGTGCAACCTATTACCATTCAACCAACACAAGGTATAACAAAGATGAAGAACAGACATTCAGATGTTCTATTAGCTGCTCCCAATCAGTGGCTGGGGCTGTACAGAAAACCACAGAATAGCTGTGGAAGGACCATGAAGAGTCATTTTTATGGAGCTGTAAGTGTGCTTAAAAAGAAAAAGAAAGAAAAAGAAAGAAAACCTCTTTCAAGAAAACTTGGATTCACCCATGTCTTGCATTACTGGGGGACAAGGGAGAAGGAGGAACAATGCAGACTTCTTTTTGATGACAATATAAAAGGCCCAACAACAAATGATATAATAAAATAGCTGCTTTAGTAAGATATAATAAAAAGAGAAATATAGGTAGTGAGTAAATTGCAACCCTTCACATGCTGGGCATCGGGGACTTATTTATGCAGCATGGGATTAATTGTGGGTGGATTTTCCCACAGCAAGCTGCACAGATCCTGTCCATGGAGAGGTTTCTGCTCCCTCCCATGCTGTGGTGGTTTTATCTGGTGTAACAAAGAAAGCCATATATCCTCTGGCAGGTTGCAATTTGTCATAAGGTCCATGATTGTGCAGCATGAGTTTTTATGGGCATTCCAGCACCTACCCTTGCAGCAGGTACCCATGTGACATGCAGGCTTCCCTGTCAAAGGCCCCATGTAGAAGACAGCCTGTTCAAGGTCACAGACTTTTGGAATACAATGTCTTCTGCAAGTCTTCCAGTATATCTCCTAATACTATTTAATAACTCTGTTGAATTGTGGCAAAAGAGAAGATGGTACTCTGTCTTGGAACCAGAACATTTTGCTGAGATCTATCAATAACTCTATAAGCTGACATTATGAAGTTTACAAATGGTTGAGAATTTAGTATAAATTGTGGCTGAAAAATGTTAATTTTTGCTAAACCAAAAAGGAAGGCAAACAATATGTTCCTTAGCATACTTTATATTTATACATGCTGTACTTGTTCCAGCATTGAACTCTTTATCTCAAAACTTGACATCTTTCCTGAACAGCAATTATAGGTCTGATTAAAAAATAAGAGAAGTTTCTTGATCTGCTGGGTGAGATTGTGGCTGTTGTTTATGATATTATATTGCATTCTTAAATTATATCTCAATTTTCTTCTAGCTGATTTGCTAATTTTAATGTGTGAGGCTTTTAAAGTACTTTTATTATCCTGCTCTTTTTCTTGAGCAAAGCTCAGAATCATACATATCATTTTGCATTAACACAAATTAATGTGTTCTGTACTTAGCATTTTAAATAATTTTTTGATCCTGTGCAGTTCCACATACTTGTGTAATTGTAATTCTAATTACTTTTTATTTTCTTTCCTATGTCACCCCTAGAAAAACACTGATAAACTGTAGAACATTATGGCTGAATTTGTGGGACTTCAAGTGTCATGTATTACATGGTTATTTCCTCACAATGTGAAGAGAAAAGTAATTTTAAAGGAAATCTCCAGATTGCCCTGGGGAAATGAATTTGCTTTATTTCATAAGAAAGACTGTGTAGGATAACACAGGCAAATCCAGAATTGTGATCTGTGTCTGGAGCCACTGTCTAGGGGTGTATGGATAAATTTTAAAGTTCCAGAACCCATTTGGAGCTGAGTCTGGTGAATGACGAAATATGGGCTTCTACAGAGACATCAGCATGAAAAAGAAGGTTAAGGGTGTATGTGGGCCTGCTGGGTGGCATGGGGAACTGGTGGCAAAGGATCTGGAAGGGGACAAGTTGTCCTGAAGGTTTCTTCACATCTTTCCTGGAAAAACTGTTCCTAGTAATGTGACACCAGTGGGAAAGTTTGGGAAGGAAGTCATCCTCTGGCTTGGAAGCTTTCTTTTTCCATGGTGTATAGGATCTGATTGAGACCATTTAAATGAAGTGAACTTTCACAGGTGAAAGGGCCTAGATGGGTGAACCCAACTGGAGAAACTGTCCCATGGCTTTGTGAGGTGACTCTTGACAATCTGTGAAGGATCGTGGTGATCAAGGAGGTTCCTGCAGACCGTAGGAAACCCAGCGCTGCTTTTCAAGGGCAAGAGGGAGAATCCAAGACACGATAGGTGCATCAGCCTCACGTTGATTTCTGGAATAGAGATGGAGCATTTCACCCTAGAAACCATTCCCAGAACTAGAAGGTGTTTAGGAGCAATTGTCATGGATTGACAGAGGAAAAAAATCCCAGTCAGCCTGACAGCCTCCTGCAATGAGGTGACTGGCAGGGTGGATGTAGGGGATGTTGTTTAGCAAGTCCTCAGAAATCTTCTGGATACCCTCAAAGGCAAAACCGTGAGGTTCAGGCTAGATGCACTGACAGGAGGGTGAATCCAGAACTGGCTGCACTACCAGACCCAAAGTCCTGCATCATCTCCCAGGGATGATTTTTCCCCTCTCCTGTCTGTTGAAGTACAAATGATGTGGGAAAATCTTAGTCTTCAGGTCTTTTCTGGAGCAATAGTTCCTGTTTTCATTCTCAACCTTCAGCTGTCAGCAGATGAGAAACTTCTGTGTGCCAACATAATTTTTAATAATATGTCTTTCATTGCTTTTTCCAAACTTTTTTTTAAAGCATACTAATGTTTTCAGCTTTTGTAGCACTCTGTTTAAATGAACCTCCCAATTTCATTCTGTTTCTGTGTGACATGTGTGTTTTCTGTGTTGTATTCCTTTCCTCTGGGACTTTTAAAATTTCTTAAGTTCATTACTTTGCAATATGCATTGGTTTTCAGTGATGGTGTTTTAAAAATTTGAGTCTGTTGCATGCTAAGTTCTAAATACTAAAAATTTGCAAGACTATATTTGTTTACTTTCTTTTTTCCTCCAAAGACAGAAAGAGTGATATTAGGATAATATAATTTCATTGGTCTCAAAGGTCTAAAATCCAATTGCAAACAAGATGGCCAAATAAAATTTATGTTTTCAGAGAAAAAATCACTGCGAAAATTTAGTTGGTTACCATGCCATCTTATAATTCCATTCTTGGTCTTCCAAAGAGAATAGCGAACATTATACAGCATGACAATTTTGGTAGCATGGTTAAGCTACAGCTATACAGAAAAATATCTTGTGTATATTTTAATTTTGCATATCTCTCTCATAACTATGTTCTGAAATTATTCTTTTCAAAGTCTGAGGTTTAAAGGAAATCATGAAAATTGCATCACCTGTATAATTTATGTGCATGAAAACTGCACATGCTTTTTGTAATGGATTATAAAACACACTCTTGATAATGGTTAATGGAGTGATGGAGTCAGCTTGGAGGGTATAGTGGGAGTGATGGGGTTTACCCTGTACCCAAAAACTGCCATGGCTAATCACAATTTGGTCACATGACACAGAGAACTATTGTTAATTTACTGTTTCCAGTGGTTTTACCTGTAGGAGTGAAACAGAGGTTAAAGCATTATAATTATTTCAGAATTAATGTATCATTTCTTGCTTTCTCTTGTTCATTTGTATTTTCTGTTTTTTCTTTCTCTTACATGCTGCAGTTGCAAACATATTGTGGCGAGAGCAAGGTACTAATGGAGATTACTTTTGTTCATATTTTCTGTAGCGTGATGAAATGCTCATCTGTTGTTTCTTTTGTGTGTGTTTGTGTACCTATGTTTGTTTGTACTCTACAGTTACAGTAATTACCCACCCCCTTGCAACACTGACGAATTTGACTTTAAAAAAAAATTAAAGTGGAAATGAATCCTATAAATGCTCATGCTTTTGTAAACTGCTTTTCTTTTTTGGGAGAGAGAATGAAATAAGTTGTTTACAATTTTCAGGTAATTGTTTAAAGATAAACAACAAGAAGCTCAGATTTAAAATGTAGACCTTTAACTTTTGATTGTTGTCATGGTAAAACTTCTAACCAGTCAGCCTATATGCTGTTGAGATTGATTTTCTTGTATGAATCTGTCTTATTTGACAAAATTATAATCTTAAACAGTTTGAAATTGATATACCTGTTGTTGCTTAATTAAACTAAGCATTTTATTCTTATACTCAGGAAAGGTTTGTAAATAAATGTTGGGGCAGGGAATGGATGTTTGTGATGAACCAAAGGATAAATAAACATAAACATAAATAAAGACATAATCAGGTTTTATTAACATAAAAATCATCATGGAAATATTTTTTACAAGCAAAAGATAGATATGAATTTTCATATCTATGACATGATCGCAAAAATTATCCTCATATTTCAGAAAAATACCATAATCTAAGCGTTCTCTTGAGTTCCCATACTGTTGCTCTAAGTAGCCTGTTCTTCATCTAAAGTTGCAATTTAGGAATTAAAATATTGCAGTAGTAAGAAATTATTTTGATTATTTCCATTGGAAGATTGGTAAAACAAGGTAACAAGTGAATCAAGCTTTGCTGTGAATTCATGCTAGAAATGGTATTTCTATAGACTTTTCAAAAATTTGTTTTTAATTAATTTAAAGATTTAAAAATTTGACATTTCATTTGCCTGTACGTAGTAACCTTTAGCATTCCCAGTGTATTTATAAATATGAACTATTTTTATTTTTTATTCCTGTTCTACCAGTTGCTCAGCTGGTACCAACAGTAATTTCTGTGATTGTAGTGGAGTTCAGCTGAGATCCTCCTGCTCTATTGGACTTGCAGAGTACAAATGATGTGTTTAGAGTTTCATACAATTGCACTGTTAATCTTTAAACTGATGTGCAACAAGTTTGGATCAAATTCTCAAAAGTATGCTGTTCTTATTTCTTGTTGGGAAAGTATCAAGTATGGTTTATCTCAAAACTGAAAACATCATTAGTATCCTCTTGATTTTTTAATTTGTTGTCTTTTCAAGTCTATTTGTTGCTTTCAGTCATTAGAATGCACTTAGGAAAATTTAACTTCTTTGACAAAAATTGCCAATTAAAAACAATAGCTTACCAGAGTGCTTATGGTTAAGACATTCAAATTTCTCTGTGACTAATGTGAAACTAATCAAAAAGCAATGTATAGTAGCAGATTTTGTGTTTCCTAGAGCAGATCTTCTCAATCTCTCTGCATAGAAATGCAGGCCAATCATTGTGTTTCCAATAAATACTGTTACTAATGACAACATTGGAAATATTTTACAAGAGAGCAATACCCTGAAGATGCCAATAAACATCACCATCAGCTCCTCTGGGCCATCCATACTCTGCCATTATCTGTTAGAAAGCATTAACGGATAGGAAGAGAGGGATGGGTGATTAGTAGGACAATCAACATCATGAAACCATACATAGACCTTAGTGCCAAGAGGTATTTCTCTATCAAGTTCACAAAATCTTTATCACAACCACTTGCATCAGAAAATCTGAAAGGACTTTGAAGGTACATGTGTTTACAGTAATAATGTAATATATAAATAAATAGAAATCTATTCATATATATATGTAAAATAATCCCAACCTCCACCATTAAAAAAAAAATATGTTAGCCAGTTTAAAGTATCAATTTAGTCTAAGTAAAGCAAATCTATTTCTCTATTGCTTCTGGTGCTGCATTGAAAATGTGCAGGATTGTATTTAGTGGGAGGAGGGTTGCAAAATTCCCTCCCTTTGAGGGTTCCATCAAAGGAATAGCTCCTGTAGTTCTGAAAAATGGCTTGCTGAGGTGATTAGATATTTATGCAGATTAGATATTTGTACAGGTATCTGTAGCCACTCACTCAAATGAAGAGTTTTGGGTCATAATAAGTTGGAAAGAGGAATTAACTAATTGGATCCAGAGGTTAAGGTTTGTTATATGAACTGACTTCCTTAGCTTGGTATTGAAATGGAAGAAGGACATTTCCTACTGTATGTCCTTCACTGTTTTTGTAGAACAGTTTGGTGAACATTATTATCCAGATTTTGGAAATAAAGCCTTAAAGCTTTGGGCTGTTTATTAGTCATAAATAATATATGTACATTGGAAATGTTACTTTGGAGTATTGGCACCTGAGGTGGAGGTTTTAGAATCCTAATTACCAAATGTCTGGGTCACCTGGGGCTATAATCTGAGCTACTTCCTCACATTCTGGTATTGCTTATCCTGCTAATAACTATAATACATTTCAGCCAGTGAGAGGATGAAGAGAAAACCCTGTTTTGTGCCCAGCCATATTCACATATTCATCCCCAAGGCACGATATGAGTTGCTCAGCTATAGATCTCTACACTGTGTTCATTGGTACAGGCAGCCTAACATCAGTCAGGCTTATCTGCAAATTTCAGCTGTTCTTACATCATGCAATGTCAGGCATTCTCTAAAGAGAGACCTGGACATGCTGTCTCATATAGACTGTGTGGTTTATCTGCATACAAGGCACAAAAGTGCCCACTGGCCAGAGTGGGCATATTGCCCTGAGTACACCCTGTGCTCTGAATAGACAGGACTGGGGAGTTTCCATGAGCCTAACCCTGCTTCTATGTTACACCCAATGCAGCATAGGCAAATTTCTCTCCCAATTTTTGCTAGCCTATTAATAGATAGATCCAATATAAAGTGAGGAAAACCCTGCTTGGAGACTGCTTCTCTTGCTGGGAAAATTTGGTCAGAAATGGGAAATGATTCCACAAGATTTCTTAAAGATAATTGAATGTGTTTGTTCTGGGCATAGCCTGACAACCTTCTATGTATAAAACCTTTAGGGACTGTGTTAGCTATGTGATTCCTAACGGGGACTGGAAACTTTTATGTACGTGTGTACATAAATACATATACATACACAAGCATTCATTCCTCCTACCCCCTCTTGATTTTCTCATTATTTTATTTTTTAAGACCTGTTCTCTCTCTATTAACATTGGTTTTCCCTCAGAATTTAGGATAAGCAGAATTTCAGATTCAAATTTCTTTTTCATGGGTTTCACTCCTCTGTGTTCCTATGCCAAATTTTGTTATCTCAAGTGAAAGCTTAAAAATGTGCATCCATTTTTTTACCATTGTAGCCAACAGTTTAGTTTTCAGAATGGTTATAGTTGTGATTTTATGAGTACTATGGTTTTCTTCAAAGAATTGTATGAATATGAGGGGATCATTCACTATAGCATCCATATAGAAAATCAACAACTGTTGTCTTAGTTGGCACACAGAAAACTAGGGAGACTGTCCTTTTCTGTGGTCATGACCATAATCACAGATACTGTGAGGCTTCATGCTACAGATCTGGTTCCCACCTTCCCCACAAAACTTAGCATCATGTGTTTCAGCAACATTGTGGAAGACGGATTGAATGGTTCGGTAAACACCTATGGCCCTTCAGCATTGGAATCAATATCTGCCCAACTCTGTCTTTCTAATAAAATAAAGAATATTTCCTTTTCTGTCTGAAATATTAAATTTATAACAAAGACTCAGGTCTTCTCTTTTAATGTTGTACAGAAATTATGTTAAGTCCTCCATCCCTAAGCAAAAGTTAAAAAAAACCCCATACATAAATAGAGAATTTATATTAATTTGACTTGAATGTAGATGATTTCACAAGAACACTTTTATTGCTGCAGCTATCAAACTCTGTATTTCTAGATCTGTATTCATAAACACACTGTCTTGCCAATGGAGAAAACTATGTAAAATTCTAAATAATGTAACAATTTTGTTTCAGTTTTACAACAAAAGATCCCATAGGTTTAGCTGTATTACCATTATACACATTAACAAACTGATCTCATACTGAACTGTGATTAGGTTTTTAGTTCAAGACAAGGATTTTCTTTTTTGTCATTATTTAATTTTATACATTTCAATGTGTTTTTGTCCCTAAGGTCTGGGAATTGGGAACATGTTTTATGTTTTTTATGAAGATGGCATCAAAGTAATACAACCAGTGGAATGTGAATTTCAGAGGCATATTAAGCCTAGTGAAAAACTCCTCGGTTTTCAGGCAAGTGGTTTTTAAAAATCTATTTGTAGTGTTTTCTCAATTATAATTTTCTTTACTTAAGGATTTGTTATTACTAGTTCAGTGTTTTTTGCTTGATAAATTATGCCATGTCTTCCGAATGAACAAATAGCTTATAATGGTGATCTCAAAATTTCTTGCATTGTCCTCTATAAAATTCAAACTTTCAGTCCCTCTTTTCTGTTGAATATTCCCTGAATACTTTTACAAACCTTTTCTTTCTTTGGCTGTCTTTCTCCTTTCCCAGTTCTTTAACAGCTCTCTATTTCTGGATTTGTTGTTGGTTTTTTTTAGTCCCCACCAGCTTCCCACCTCCCAGCCACGAGTTTAAGTTCATCTTAGTGAATCAGGGATTGATTCTCTCTATATTAAATATAGGATCTTCTGGGGAGCGGGGAAGTGTTAATGGTTTCTTTTTCTTCACTGGATGTTTGTCTATATTAAACTCGTGAGGCAAATCTCTGTCCTGGTAAACACGCTCTCAGCTTCCACAGAAGTTAGTAGAGATGATTGATGCTTTGGTTCCAACTTAAAATTCATATAAGTATTTTCAATAACTTTACTGTTAACATATTTATAGCTGATTTTTCAAATTCCTAGAATTTATGATATAGTTTCCCTGAGTAGGATGCATAAAAACACTAGTGTATTCTTCACTTCCATTTATTCTTGTGATGTTTTTCCTTTACTGCTAATCAAATTGCTAGCTGACATGATGCATGCTCCCACAGGAACACTTGGTACTAGTCACTACATTAAGACTTACTCTATATGATATATCAGCTTTCAAAAATAGTAACTTTTTCTCATTTGGATTTGAATGAGTGACCTTGAAATATATACTAAGCATTGAGCTTTACACTTTGGGTTTTTTTTTCTCTAATGCTTCAATGACAGCAGAGCTAGAGCTGTCTCAATGGAATTTTCCTCTTCTGTTATGATTATTGATGTCAAAGGCTGCTGTACTCAGCAACAAGATTTATTTTAGTGTGAATAATTATGCTTTGAACAGCTAATCATACCTTGATTTGTGCTGCTTAAGTGAAATTAGGTTGACACAGTCAAAAAATAAACCAAAAACTTTTTTTAATGGCTGTTTAATTAAAAAGCTGATTATGTAAGAGGTCTGTTAAAATTGTATTGATCTAAAGTGCAGCCTAGATTTTAAGAGTATTTTTGTTGAAGTGTGTCAATAATAGGATGAATAGATAAAATTTGTTTCCTTTTGCAACCTTTCAAAACTGGAGTATCATAATAAGTGTATCTTCTTGGGGGAGAAAAAAAAAAGAAAAAAAGGAAAAGCCCAGGAAAGTAGACAACTTGATAACTTTTATTCTGAAGTTTTTTTAAGAAACTTTTTTTAAAAAATATTTATTCTACTCCTTTGAAGAGTATCATATGTTCCTCAGGCCTCTTTGGAAAGTCTGTTTCCTCTGAATAGTAATAATAATAATAAAATAACCTAGTTCTGTCCCAGGATCAGCTTTTTATCAAGTTCAGCATGTGATTGCTTAGTGGTAACAGTTCTTTTCATAAATTGATGGTTAGTAATTCGCTTTGGCTCTGCCATATACTTTTACTAATCAGAGATGTTGCTAAGTATACCAAGCATATTTTGATGTAACTTTACACAGCCCTTCCCATTAGGGCATCTCCATGACTTAACTATTAACATATTTTTAATAAAGGAAACATGTGCTTGCTTAAACCTCTCCCATTTCTCATTTTTTTACACTTCTCTGAACTGGCTGTTCTAGTGAAAAGTAAAACCACAGGAGAGTTGTTTATTGCCAAACAGTTGCTAAAGCATAGGAACATTTCTAAATTCAGCAGTGCAGTTTAGATAATAGAAAATGTCTGGATATTGCACATGACACGGCAGTGTTCCTCCACAGGTTTCCTGTTTGTCTGTCAACAAACCTGAACTGAGTTTCTGTAAAAGAATGAGCTCAGGTGTTTCTACACAATATTGCTCTGTATTGTGTACAGCACTGCAGTACTTATACATGTACATATTTAGGTATGTTAATTTTGCTAAAGGTAAATATATTTTCTCACTTGCTATATACTTGAGAACCCTTATCTAAATATTTAATTACCTCTTATGCAACTGAGTGTCAATACAGGAAAACTCTTCGGTGTATATCTAGCATGAATCATTTAGACTCACTGTGTTTAAAGTGAAGCAAAAGATTTAGTGCTTTACTGGATGATCATGGGTCACAGAAATTGTAAAGACCTCCTTCTTCTCCTTCCCAGAGTCTCCTAAATTACTTGAATCTTCTTAATTCTCAAGTGCAAGTAGAAATTTATTAGTCTGATATTAGTCTTTCTAGATGCATAGGGACAAAAATAAACTGATTTCTATTTTCTGATATATCTTGTTGCTTAGTTAGACCAGCTTTGACAGCTGTTTGTTTAACCTGTTGTTAAATAGATTCTTAACCATGGTTCAAGTAGAGTCTTTCACCTGTTGAAACACCTCATCATTGTGAAGTGCTTGGGACATTTTCCTTACTAGCATTCAACCTCTGTTTATCCTCTGCAATTTAATATTATCCAAAGATTTAATTTCTAAATCTTATGCAAAAGTGTTTTTCTTTTGCTTTCACTATGAATCCCAATTAGAATAATTATTTCCAGTGACTTGGAAAAAAGCAATTGAAACAGATGCCTTTTGGAGACTAATGAAAAAATCCTTTTGGCTTCAACATAAAGCTGATTTTCTGTTTATTACAAGAAGTAGCACATAATGGCCAAATTTCAGTAAAATATGCCATCTCACATTTGAATATCTGCTGGAGGTCAGAGCAAAACACTTCATTTCATAATAATTAATGTGACTACATGGCATACCAATATTTCCACGGGAAATTAGATTGAAGCATACTTTGTAGTCCACATAAACTGCCTTGGTTTACACTCTTGCAGCACAAAAAGTGTATTAAATGCTAAGCTTTGTTTGTAAAAAAAAAAAAAAATGTTAAAAAAACAAATCCAGTCTGATTTTTAGTAGAGAATGTCAAGAAAACAATGATTTAATGTAGAAGAGGTGATACATAAATTCATGTCTTGAAACTTGCACTGCTGCAACCTGTTGGTATGATCTTAGCCAGCCATAGCATAGCTGGACATTTCATTGCTCTGCCTAAAGAGTTTGACTCACATCCTGTTAAAGCACTGAGGACCCTTGCAGTAAGTGTAAGTTAATAAGCACAGAATTTGCACGTAGAAATCTGCAAGTACATGTTTCCTCTTGAGATTTTCTTGCCCCAGACTATCTTGAAAAACTTTCTCTAAGGATTTATTTTCCTCCATCTGCTGACTTGTTACAGAGTAAGTCACTTTTTGATTAAAAAGTCTGGGAGGAATACAACAATGAGGTAAATTAATGTTTTATCAGATGGTAACTTTTTTTCTTTTTCAGAGAGAATAAATTAGGAAAAAGTAAATTGCTTACATTTTAATTAGAAGTAGAAAATGGTGGGTTTATGCTTATATTTTAAGGAGAAATAATTTTAACCAATTACCCAACCACTGGGGATATTAATATGGAGCTTCAGAATAACTGCCTGTAGTGTAAAAGAAGTCCAAACTGTCTAATGAGCTAAATGTTATATTTTCAAAAGCAAGATTTCAGTTCTGTTGAAATAGCTACAGATAAATGTAGATTTGAATAACTAGAGAAGCAACCACATAAACCAGTTTATACTTGGAAAAACACTCTGTTTTGGATATGAGAATTGTGGTGCATTTTCACTGTCACATTGAAAAAAAGGTTTTTGCTTTTATTTTTTCAGTCTTTTCAGGCAAGATGAGAATTGGCATTGGATTATAGAAATTTATGACAAATTGTAAAATATTTTAGAACCTTTAAAGTATATTTGTATATGTAGATATGTATATGTGTGGTTGTGTATATATATATGTATATATGACTACATTTGTACTGGTCTTACAGAGAAAAAAAATCTTTAAAAATACACTTCTGAATATTTTAGACTCAGATTCAGAAAAATGTATAAGGCAGTAGCTCATGTCTGGATATAGCTATGAGTGCTTAAGTTAGAGTATTTTGCTATTCTGCTATACATCCCACAAAGGCAGGTGGAATCATTTACACTAATCTCTATTTTGTCTATGATGCCATGTGAAAGAAACACAGATTCCTTCAGCAGAAGTCAGCGCTATTTTTGAATAATATTTTGAATATATCCTTGCAGAATTCAGTCCCAAAAACTCATGTAAATTAATGTGAATCCCTGAGAGAGAAATTAAAATCATGTCCCTGTGTAGATTTGTTATGAACAATTTGTAGATTCATTGTTTGAAGGTGCTCACTCTGAGGAATAAGAGGATGGTGTAGAACAATCTAGATGTAGCTATCTGTTTAGATAAAACATGGAACTAAGACAGAGTATATTTAGAATAAATATAAAAAATAATGAGGTCAGTGAAACAACCTTCCACTTGAAGTGACAATTACCCAGAAGGCAAATGACGATAGATCACTGATATGATGATTGTACATCATGTCGGAGACATACTTGCATATGTTGACTTTATGCAACAATGAAAAGCATTTAGCTACTTCTAAGAATGAAAATCCCATTTGTCCCATGCCTGTTATTCCTTAAAAACCCAGATTTTTAACTTCTCACTTTGATCTTCATGGCTTTTTATCAGCACAAACTAAATCTTGCTTGTTACTTATTTCTAAGTTCTCCTGAAGTTCCTGATGATGTACTATCACACGGTACCTGAGTTTAGTAACCTTTCCTTATCATACGATTCCTGAAAGACCTTCCCTTTGTTGAGGTTTAAGAACATGTAAAAGCAAGCAGTGGGTTTCAGTCTTCTGCAAAGAAACTCCCTTTTTTAAAGCTGGAAATTTATTTATTTCTTCTTTTGACATATAAAGATTGAGTGTATTTTGGAAAATGTAGAGGCACAGCAGGAAAAGAATGTTGATGACACAGAAAAGGAAGTGTCGAAATGCATCATCCTCTTGAAGAGCATTGCTTGGTGCCAGAGATGGTGTTCTGCCACACAATGTTTCCTGTGCCTTTTAAAAGGCATTTGGTGCTTAGAAACAGAATTCTTGTTTAAGAGCTCATCACATCTTGCTGCTCATTCTACATTGAGTCATTATCTGCTGACATATCATAATTATTTTCACAGCGGCCAGTTATGATGTATCAGGCAGAGCATTCTAAATTAGGAATAAGCAGCAGATAAGTGGTAAAAAGAAATAATACTTATGATTTGGTAAAATTGTTCCTTGTGATGCAAAGAATTTAAAATAAGAGGCAAAAGAAGAAAAGGTCAGGAAAACAAAAACACTTGATACATCCTGTACTTTTCCAAGTAGAGTTTTCAGGTCCATATTTTTAAATAATTGTAATGTCCATTATAGGAAAGAAATCATGCTATTTCTTAAATGGAATTTTCACATATAGTACTATATTTGACTAAGGAACATTTAATTTTGATAAAACCAAGCTTTTTCTGGGAGAAAGTATTCACAAATAGGTACTTAAATACATGATGATTGGCCATATATTTCTACAAATCAGGAATAGTGAGTATGTAAACTCCAGTTAGCAATTTTGACTGAGAGTGTATAGTTATATGTATTATGAAATATCAGTTCACTGAAGTGAGCAGCTTTTTATTTTTTTCAAATTCGTCCTTTTGCGGGAATGGAAGGGCAGAAAGGGAATGAATGGCAGTAAGAAGACATTTGGTATTTATTGGGTTTAACTTAACTAGTAAGATAGGCCATGAGAATGTCTTATGGCAGAGGTTGCCACACTTCTTGATCTTAAAGCAACGTATCAGTACTCCAAGTGACCAAATCTGAGTGCTGCTTTGCCCCTATGCCGTGTGACAATTTGCACCACACCACCTCCCCTTTCTGTTCATGTGTACACCATCATCTCCCCAGTTACGTATTTGCCTGGCTTACTGCTGTGCTCTCATGGCAGGGTAAGCCGTGCCTGCACTGCCTCCCTTTGCAGGGCACTGTGATGCTGCTCAGGTGGGAGCTGCCAGCTCCCAAGCACTGTCTCTGGTTTGGTTTTCTGGTTTTAATGTCTCCTGCCCCTTGCTCACTTTATTTCTACATGTGTGTTTTTTTGGTTCTTTTTCAACTTGGTTTCTTTCTCGGGTCAACAGTACTTCTTGAATTTCTAGAAAACATCCCAAAATTTGGTGTATGAATTATTTTATAGTGCTGGTGAGTTGTGGTGCTTACAGATGCAGTTTGGCTAACATGAGTTTATGTCCTAGGGTCAACTGTCCTTTTTCCTTCCCTACATTTTCTGAGGTTTTATTTTACAGTTAAAAAATAAGAAAGTGGGTATAATTTGTTATTCTATTGCATTGTTGACTGTTTTGATTCTCATACTTTTCCTGTTTCTGTTGAATTATAGGATGAAGTTTGTCCCAAAGCAGATGGTGATCCTGTTCAGCGGTGTGTTTGGGCAACTGCTGTTAATGTAAAAGACAAGTTCATATATGTGACTCAGCCCACACTTGACAGAGTTCTCATTGTTGATGTACAGTCTCAGAAAGTAGTACAGGTATTCATGTCTCATTTTTAAAGTTACTGTTTAACTTAGACAATAGGATATAAGACTTTCCTTCATATTTCAGAAACAGAAATACAGTTATCTTGAGAGTAAACACATTATTTGGAAAAAAGTTCACCTACTTTCAACATTTAGCAGCAGTTTCTGTTTAGCAACTGTTCTTCTCAATAGACAATTGTAAGGAAGATAATATGAAAATAGCTTTTATAAATATTATTTGAGTAGTTGAGAAAATTAGTTTTTTCAGAAGTTTCTGACTGGAGGTACCTTTCACTCTAAAACAATGATTGGCTAAAAGAGTCTCTTATCCCAAGATAAGGATGAGTCTATCAGTTTTGACAGAAAGGTCAGGTTTGACTACAGAATGTGGAGGATTTACTCTGTCACTCTGTCACTGTTACTCTGCTTTTAGACAGAGAAATTACGGAAATTACAGTAAAAATAAGCACCACCCTTAGCTAAGACGAGAGAATTTGAATTCAAACTTGGTCTCTAGTCCTCTTTCTTGGTCTCTGGCATTCTGGAGTATCTACTTAGTGAAAATAATTCTTTGAGTAAAAGAGAGAAATCAGTGCTATGCTACAGCCATTAATACAGTCGTAGAGCTTGAGCAAAACCAGGTGTGGTGTGTTCACCCTGACTGGAGGCCAGATACCACCAAAGCCACTCTACCACTCCTCTCTCCAACTGGACAGACCAAGATAAGGTTCATGGGTTGAGATAAGGGAGGGGAAAGATCACTCACCAATTACCATCACAGGCAAAACAGACTTGACTTTGGTAATAAATTCAGCTCATTTTCCTACCAAAATCTAAGTAGAATAATGGATATTTTAACAAGTCCTAAACATCTTACCCAGTGCTCCCTCCTTCCTGTGCTTAGTTTTATTCCTGACTCTCTGCCTCCTCCCCCACCAGCAGTGAAGGAGATGAGGAATGGGGGGTCAGTTTGTCACATGTAATTTCTGCTGCTGCTTCTTCCTCAGAGAGAGTAGTCTTTTCCCTTCTCTTGGTGGGCCATTCCCATGGGAGACAGTCCTCCATGGACTTCTCCAGTGTGATTCTTTCCCATGGGCTTCAGTTCTTCACAAACTCCTCCAGTGTAAGTCTCTTTCCATGGGATACGGTCTTTCAGGAAAAGATTGCTCCATGTTGGGTCCCGTGAGGTCACAAGTCATGCTAATAAACCTGTTTCAGTATGGGTGCCTCTTCACAATTTCACAGGTCCTGCTAGGAGCCTGCTCCAGTATAGGCTTCCCATGGATTCAGAGCCTTCTTCAGGCATTCACCTGCTCCAGTGTGGGGTCCTCCAGGGGCTACAGGTGGATATCTGCTCCACCCCAGACCTCCATGGGCTGCAGGAGCACAGGTGCTTCACTGTGTTCTTCACCACAGGCTGCAAGGGAATCTCTGCTGGCTCACCTCAAGCATCTCCTGCCCCTTCTTCTCCACTGACCTTGGGCATCTGCAGCGCAGTTCCTCTGACATATTCCCACTCCTCTCTCATCTGGTTGCTAGCACAATAGCACTTCTGTGCATCTCAGCTATCTTATCCCAGAGGTTCTACCCCACCACTGTATAGCTATGATAATTTATTAAAAATCCTTTGCTAGGATTTTTTCCCTCCTGAGAGCTGAGGGCCTCAGGAAAGAAATGTAAACAATTACTATCTGCTGCTGTGGAATGCAGCAGGTGCATGTTCCATTGGTCCATGTGGATTGTTTTCCATTGATGACCAATCACAGCCATCTGTGCCGAGGCTGTGAGCAGTCACAGGATTTTGTTATGCATTCTATTCTATTCCTATTCTTTGTAACCTTCTGATCTTTCTTTTCTCTCTGTTCTTTTACTATAGTTTTTATATAGTATTTTAATACAATATATAAAATAATAAATCAACCTTCTGAGAAAACAGAGTCAAACCTCATGTCTCCATACATGGGGTGTTCACCTCAACACCACTGATTGACTGGATATTGGCCAGCAGGGAGTCTGTGCTGGCACCAGCTGGCATAGGCTCTGTTGGACATGGGGGAAGTGTCTGGCATCTTCTTACTGAAGCCACCCTTATAGCTCCCCCCTGCTACCAAAAGCTTGTCACACAAACCCAGTGCACCAAGGTACAAGGCAGTGTTTTTAGTATCATCATATTTATAGGAATCAGGTGTTCCTTGGCTATATAAAACACTTTTTAAAAATTTTTATTAGAAACCTAATTGTTAATAAAAAAACACACTTAAATAGAGCTTTTCTTCTTACCTTTTGGTTTTCTCACTGATAAGTAAATGGAAAATCTTTAAAGTATAGATTATATGTTAGGCTCCAGGGAGACAGTATTGTGTCCTTTCAGTACTTAAAGGGGACTTAAAAAGAAGTTGGAAACAGATTTATTAATAGGGACAGTAGAAATAGGCAAGGAGTAATGGTTTTAAACTAAAAAAAAAAGGTAAATTCAGACTAGATATAATGAAGACATTTTTTATAATGAGGTTTGCAAAACACTGTCAGAGGTTGTGCAGAGAGGTGCTACAAGCCCCATCCCTGGAAACCTTCAAATTCAGTTTAGATGGGGCTCTGAGCAAACTGATCCAGTTGAAGATGTCCCTGCTCACTATGGAGGTTTTGGACTAGATGACTTTTAAAGGTCCCTTCCAGCTCAAACTATCCCATCATGTAAGTACACACATGTGTTCTATACAGGCATATAACATTTAAAAATAAATAACAAAATTTCATTTATAAAATTGCATGAATTTAAAAAATAGTTTCAATACTTTTGCCTACTTGAAACACCTGCTTTCTGAATTCTGTGTCAGCTGACTCAGATATGGCTTCCTCAAAGCTTGAACTGTCCAAATGGTGGCAAGGACTTATAAAATATTTTATTCAAGAAGTTAATAATAAAAAGGTAGTGTTTTTTTTTTAACTTAATTTTACCTTTGCATATTAAAATAGAAATAAAATGAGTGGGTAATGAATTTTTTTTTTCTGAAAACTATATTTTTTACAACCAGTCTGACCAGTTTGATATATTACTTCAGGAACACAGAGTAAAAACCCACAGTCTCAACACACTCCACAAATTTGAAGGACTGGAATATCTGGCAATATTTTCCATGGTCTCTGACTGACATTCAGGTGTCAATTTCCTTTTCTCCACAGGAGGGACAAAATATCAATATAATTGCATTTATTAGCATTTATACTTCAGTGTTAAAAGCACATGATTCCTCTTGAGCTCACTGAAAATAGGTTTTAATTCAGGTTTTATGAAATTTGTTCACTGGTAGGCTCTTCTAATTTGTCTTTAGTTACAGTATTTATTGTTTTAAATATGTAAAAATATATATAACTTTACCATTAAAAAATTGCAGAGACACTTACTGCAAACATGTATGTTAATTAAAAAGTAAAATTCAGTAAATTAACCACTAATTAAAAGTTCAGCCCTTCCCCAGAAATATGTAAAGCAATTGTGCAGCTTTTGAATGACATTAGATTGTTCTATCAAAAAAAAAAATTCAAGTTTCTGTAATGAACTGAAAAACAGATTTACAGAATGCCTAAGTATAGAAAAGAGCTTTGTGCACTAAGTCTGTGCTACTTAGTAAGTATATTGAGTTAAAACCAGGATATTCCAGAAGCTTTCATGTTATTCTGTGGGAAAAAAAAACCCACCACTTTCAAAGGAATCTTATTTTGAGGGATAAAATAGCATTGCTTTTCCCCTAATTTAATAATAACTAGGTTATGAACTAAGGGAAGTCTAGAATTAAATTTACTCCAGCTGTGGAAAACTTTTGCAGGAATGGAAGTCTTGGTTTTGATGGTTCTAGGTGTTTAAGTAATCATAATGGATTATTTTTTCATTTCACAGTAATTAACGAAGATTTTTGGTGACACAATATAACCAGTTTAACCAGGCATAAATAAACCAGGCAGTTTAACCAGATAAATAAATTAAACCAGATGTGTTACTGTCACTTTTGAACACCTAAGTAGAATTTCTACTATTTGTTACTGATCGGAATGCTACTTCCTAGGATACTCTTAGCCAAATACATGGGAAAAGTACAAGGGGACTTGTTCTGTGTCCAGCTTACCCATGCCATTATTCAAAATAGACTTAAAAAGCAAGCAAAACCAAACAAAACAAAAACAGAGATAAAAATAACAGTAGTTGCAAACAAATAAATAATGAAAGCATAAAACCTATACTATTTTTTACATATAAGATAAAACTATGAAAAGTAAAACCACTGTTGATTCACAGGTGGGTTTTAGAATTGAAATAAGGCTAATTTGGAATGTAGTAACAAGTCAAGAGGTTCTTTGTTTAGCATTTCTTAAAACACGCATAGCTCTGTCTTCTTGTCTTTTAAAAATAAGCACTTATTTCCTAGCTTTATTTTTGGCAAGCAGGCGGAATGTTCTAACCATTACATGTTGCTCTATTCATATGATATGCACTTACAAAAACACTTTTACAAACAGGAAGCACAGAAGGGAATTTAGATTTCCAGATCAGTCTATTTTCATTACGTAGAGTACTGCCTAGCACAGAGTAAAATAAAGATATAATTAATTCTTGGAAAATAGAAACTCAGCTCATAAATGTTCAGAAATGAGAGCATTTTTCTTGTTAGACTGCCTTTTTCCTGAAGATCATAATAATACAGAAGATATCACCTTCATACATGTACAGGTGCATTAACTATTTCTAGTCTACATCTTAATAAGAAAGATGTCTAAAAAGAAAGTCTGTGTTCTTAATAAGAAGTCACCTTGCAAAAAAAAGCACATAGGCTAGTGGGAATAAATGTGGAGATAATTTCATATTTTAAAAGCAGGAGCGCTCTAATGAAACTTCCATCACTGTGCAAAAACCCAAAAGAAAATTAAAAAATTATTTGAAAGGACTTTTAAGTGTGTAAAAATAATGTTTATTTGGTTTTGCTTATTACAATGTTTTCTCTGAAGTACTACTATACATGTTATTCCTTTCTACTATGAAAGTTAATGTAAAAGGTGTGCGCATACGTGACAACTAGATTTGAAGTTGATTTTTTTATGACAGGTATATTTATCAAAGTGAGTACTTTAGAGGATTCTATAGCAGACTAAATTGAAATGTAGTGGAAATATGGATGTTGTATCTTTAGAGATTTATATAGAAGGAGACTTTTTGACTTATCCAGGTAATTCTCATTCTAAAGTCAAGGGAAGCATTTGCTTTCCTTTTTAAATTCTTGAAAGCAGGAATTGTGCAGTATTGCATAGCAGCGCACCACTAAGTGGGATGACTTAGAGGCTGAAGTAAACAGAATCATCATCCTTCAGTCCTCAGTGTGCTGCTGGCAGATCAGCCTGGTCAGCTAGAAACAGCTGTGAAAGTCTGCTTCTGAGATGCTTAACTCCTTTTTGCTGCTGGCTTCCCTCTAGGGAGCTGTACTGCCTGTGCCTGACCCTGCAGGCAATTCCTTCTGCTCCTCCTGGCTGTGCCACGACCCCAGCTCTGAACGCAGCTGGCAGTCCTCTGGCACAACATGTATGGGTCAGACCTTTGTCTGGGGAAGCCAAAGGGAAATTTGACATGCCTTGACAAATTAGCTATACAACAGTTCAAGTATTATTTTAAACAACTTGTTTTCTAGCATGTAGCATAAAGAAGTTATCAAACACAAATGACCTTTTTCAAGGGGTAACTTGTGATTTTAAATGAGCCAGTGAGCATCCTGGCTTCATTTTCCATTTTCAAAAGGAAAAACTAATTCTGCTTAGATGAAGTGGTCGCTTGCAACACCTCAGGAGTACAGTTAAGTATCATCAGCAGTCTCAGCCAGCCATTAGTGCATTATCTTGAGGATCTACATCATTAGTTTAAATTAGGTTCACTTAATTAGCCAGCTGGTACTCTCCTTGACACACTGATAAACAAGCTGTGCTTTACAGTTCTGTAATGGTAAGACTAAAAACCAATTTCCACCTATTTTTTCTTCTTAAATGATGAAAATAAAAAAGTAATCCCCCCACTTGTTTAGCCTGTGCATAGCATTTCTTAATCGAATTGTTCTCCTATTTAATATCTCTGAATCCTTCAGTTTTTGTAACAAAGGAAGTTTAGAGCTCAGCTGTCTAAAAGGTTCATGGTCTCAAGTGACAGTGCTTAAAGTTGTAGGGAAAACACATTGGTTCTGATCACAGGTCTATGAAAAGTAGCAACTGTAATTGGAAAACACATGAAAACAATCCTTCCTACTTCAACAAAATATGCACATTTTAACAGATAGGAAGTTTTGGGTGCAGGAACATCATGTTGATTTTTTGCAGTAACATCTTCCATTAATTCCAGTATGTGGCTTGTGAATACTCTTCGCTTTTTAACCATTTTTTGGTAAATGGTGTATTTTTTCAACCAATACATATAAAGTGAGAGTGATGTCAGGGAAGGAAGATAAATAGTTTTGTACTTGATTAAAAACCTTTGTTTTCAACTTGTTAAAGGCTTCAGTATAATGTAGTTTTGATACCAAGTGTTAGAGCACATAATAAATAAAAAACACACTTTCAGCAATTCAGTAACTCTGAATTAAACAGAGGGCTGTTTCAGCAATTGACAACATAATTCCTAAATACAGTCTGAAAATATCTGAAAATGCATATCTACTCATCATTTTCATTCAAGTATATATATTATGTTTCCTTTGAAAATGTGACAAACAGAGGATTTCTTTTCTTATTCTATTTCAGGCAGTGAGTACAGATCCTGTTCCAGTGAAACTACACTATGATAAATCACATGATCAAGTCTGGGTGCTGAGCTGGGGAAACATGGAAAAGAATTCACCAACTTTACAGGTGAGGTGATCACATTGATTATATGTAAGGAAATATGGACAGGCTGAACGTTTGTGTAATTGCAATGTGTTGCATATTTTCCTTTAGGTGTTATTATCGTGACCCTAGCAAGGGCAGAGAAATGATTTTAGGTAACCAGAAAACAAGACAAACAACTGACCTCACCAAAAAGTTAATGATTATTTGCAAGACCCTTAGTTTGAACTGACAGTGGCAAATTGATAGAAGGATAAGGAATGCAGCTGAAAACAGCAGCATGTTCTGTACTGCCAGTCTTTTGAGAGCAAACTGTTGCTGTTCATGGTATTTCTGTCCCTAATTAGAGGATAAACTGGAATTTAGACATACTTCCATTTCATTAAGGTCATATTGACATTCTGGAGGTGTCAAGCTCTGTCTTTATTGGGGTTTTTTCACACGAAAGACATTAAAAATCTTGATTTTTCCCATACTTTGGAGCAGTGACAAACCTAGGGGCAGTCGCTAAAGAAACATCTCAAGAAGCTGTACTTACCTTTCTACTTTTTTATTAATTTCTGTTCCTTAGTTATAGTAACCCCCTGAGACTGTGATAAACAACCTTATATCATAATTTAAAAATTCATTTTTTATTTGTTTTAATTTTCCTCAGAAATTAATGAAATCCTTATGCATTTAATATATACTTATATATAACAAAAAAATTAGAGAAGTTTTAAAAGCAAAATTAGTAACATTTGGAATCACCTTTTCAGCACCTACAGACCCTTAATAACTTTGAGCAAGCAAGGTAATCTGTGGAAGTTTAGTTACCACTCCTCCCCAGAACTGATAATTGAGTCAGTCTTATTATATTTTAAAGTGGCTGATCATCCTCACCCTTGTTTTTAATTACAGTATAGATAATAGATTGTCTTCTTCTCTAAAAAAAAAAAAAAAAAAATCCACTCTTAAATGCATATATATGAGAAGCATTGTGGCTATCATAGGGAATTGTCTTTTATTCACCCATAAACATTTGCTTCAGAGACGGTCCAAGATTTTGGGATTTGAATAAAATTGGTTCATAACAATTTAAGTAGTATGTAAACTCAGTTCAGCTTGCTCTTCTGAAATATGTCTGTGCTATGTTGAATTATGTCATGATTGGTGGGAACTGGGAGTATGCATAGCCATATGTTCCAGTGGATTTGTTGATAGCATCTTTTCACTCTGGCTGAAGTGTTTAAAAATTTAATCTCACTCTAAGATCTAGTGTAAGAAAAAAGATAAACAAAAAACTTAGTTTAAACTAAAAACTGTTAAGGGCTTTAGTAATGTAAATGAATAAATATGGATTCAGGATTGATAAAAAAAAGATGAAGGGGAAAAATAAGTATGAAGACTAAGTTTTCCAGTATGTAATAGTTCTCTGGAATCTGTAATGTTGATCAGCTTTATTCACTGTTATTTGCATTCCTTTTCTTGGTAACATGGAAAAGACAACACAAGAGAATACAGAGGCAATACTATATTCATTCATTTGGATAGAGATTTGACTTTTAAAGAGTACTTCTATAGTTTGTGCTGATGTTACTTTGTGCAGGTGATAACACAAGCCAGTGGGAGCGTTTCTCATCACACAATCCACACTCAGCCTGTGGGGAGGCAGTTTGACAGAGTGGATGACTTCTTCATTCCAGCTACAACCCTTCTCATTAGCCACGTGCGGTAAGTTTCTCTGAATGTAGGGAACGTCGGGTTGTCTTTGTGTTCATCCTAAGAACACGTTCTGGCTATGACAGAACTGAACAATTTGATCAGCTGGATTTTAAAAGACATATGGAACACAGAAAGAGAGACTGAGGAAAACAGGACAACACTTAACACAGGCATAAAGCAGAGCTCTCCCCAAGACCTCTTTGAGGAAAATCTATTTTTCTTCCTCAAAAAACACTAGTAAGGATGTGATATATAATTTTCTTTCCATGTTTTTTTTTTTCTCTGTAATATTTCTACCTCTAGGTATTGAATAATTCTGCAGTCTAGGATTTTTTCATCTGAGTATTTAATTAATGTGTATTAGTAGTTTGTATGTTTAAAACTTCCAAGTTTTTTTGCAAGCTGACACAGATCCATTTCACCTCAAAACAGCTCTGCCAACAATTATCCATTATTTATTCTGATATTCCAAGTTCAGGTTTCTATAGGAAAATCTTCATTAGATAATCTTTACTGTCATCATTCTGTTCTAGCAAAATTCTCAAATTACATGTGTAAATAGACATCTCCATTAAAAAGGACAGAATTTCTGATTGTGGTGAGTAGTAGTCTTTTAAATGTGAAAACATGCAATTCAAAATTATTTTACAACTGATTTTAGAATTCACTCTGTATGTGCCTGGGAAGAATCTAATCTTCTTTATCAAAGAACGTGTGGCTTCTTCTAAGGATGTTATTGATGAGAGATACTATTTTTTCTATTTCCTACAAAACTCTAAACTAATAAGTAAGTTAGCATATGAAATTTAAAAATAAATGTATAGATTAATATACCTGAATAATAAATTGACTCTTAAGTACCACTATTACCATACTTCTGGAACTGAGTAGATAAACTCCTGTTGTGTCCCTGAAGTAATCTGTTGTCCTCGCATTCAGCCATAGAAAAATATTAAATTTCTGCTGTATTTGGAACAGATATGTGTTGTGAGGACAAAAATTACTGTTTCATAAACTATCAGGTACTAGATGTACTGCCCAAACAGAACTTACGTTAAGATACTTTCATGTTCAAGTAAATAGGAAAAGAGGACCATGGATAGGGATAAACATCATTCTAGGAGGGAAATCAGCACTGGGAAAAGAAAAATAGAGACAGTCCAAAACTAGTGTTGGATTTGCCTTGTCTAACTCAGACTATTTTAGGTTGATATTTTGCCCAAATAGGTCAAGTAGGCACTTCCTGCTTTGCATGTTACCTTCAGCTGCTGAGTAATTTCACATGTCCTGTATGCAACTCAACAGAAAATAGAATGAAAGAATAGAAGAAAACACATGGGAATAAAAAAATGGCTATGAAATCAATTGAATACTGAAAGAATAAAATCCGACAAGTGCCTGAAGATATATAATAAACATGTACATCAGTTCAGGCCTAGTAAAATATTTTTTTGTTTTGTTTGTTGCTTGTTTTTTTGGTTTTGTTGTTTTTGGGGTTTTTTTTTAATATTCACATGCCAGATAAAATTGCCGAGACTGCCAAAATGCCAGAAGAAAATTCCTGGTCTAACAAAAATGCCTGTGGTAGTTTGTCCACTGCTAAACCCATAGGTTTGGGGAGTTTAATGAACAAAATCAATCTGGTGTTATCAAATAATGAACTTAAGGGAAATGCTATTAATTCCTAGTGCCTTTTCTAAAAAGAAAATTTAAAAAACACTATGTAGACAAATACAGTGATTTTCTTTCAATGTATTCTTCAAGAGCTGTTTATGTTAATCAGTTGTTGAAGAATTTGTCTTCCATAACATCTGGCCTGCAAGTACCTTGCTTTTTTTGTTTAAATTAGAATGCAATATGTGAACAATGTTACGGGAAAGATTTAAAATTAACTGTATTCATAAAATTAGTAGTGATATAGAAAATCCCAGTCTATTAAAGTTAATATGACCAGTCAAAAAAAAAAATCCCACTCAATCACAGCATGTGTTTCTTAAGGCTGTTAGGCAACAAACATAAAGCTTGAGTTTATTATTCCTGGGAGTGTATAACAACCAGGGGAGTAATTTATAAGCATGAATTGCAAAAAACAGCTAAGAGGGAAATAACCCCACTGGCTAAGTTGGCTGGTGTAGTTAATTGCCCAAGGGCCCTATTTGCTCTTTGTCAGAAATAATTCCCTTTAACCATGCAACACCAGCCCCTTTCAGAAAAATGACAACTTTCTGTAACTAGGTGCATTTGTCACTTGTAAACTAAAATTTAGAATGATGAGGCAGAAGACGGCATGCATGGCCTACCAAATTAGCATCCAGAACTAAACACACTGTCCAAATAAAGGCAATTCTAAGCAAAAAAAATTATATCACTTAAAGGAATTAAATAACTTTCCTAACAGCTAGCACAAAACATCTGATACCATCTGCAGTGTATTACTATCTACAGCATATTCTGTCCAGTAGGTTGACTTGTTGACACATAGAAGCAAAAGTAAAGGCAAATAATCTAAATCCATAATGAGTGGAGGTTTTTTTAATTTTTAGTAATAGCTAAAGTGGTAATTTCTAATAGTATGTATATAAGTATTTAAAATTTATTGCAAAATAATTTATTTAAGAAGTGGTGGAACTATACTTTTGATTTACCTAGGTCAGTTATTTTTATATATGAAAATCCAAATAGGCTGCCCATTATTATAAAAGAAAATTCCACACATTTTAATGCTCTTTCAGGCAGCAGATAATTTAGGACACACTTCCTCCAGATCAGACATTTGAAGAGATACTATAAATTTTGGTCTCAGGTAAACCGTAATTCATTCCAAAGAAAAAAAAAATGTTTTCCCATGTTTTTCCTACCACTGACTAAGTTAATTTTTTCTTGTACTTATCACACAGCAGGAGTCAGAGCAAATAACCTTTTGGTTTGTAACCAGCAGGCATAACAGTCATTCATGCTCTGAACAACTGTGGTGAACCATCAAAACATCAACTAACCAAACTAAGTAGGCATGAGCCAAAAGAAGTATAGGAAGAATAGATTAATTTATTGTCTTTAATTTTTTTTTTTTTTTTATAATTGGTGGCTAGTTGATATGTGTACCGAAGAGGACAAGAAAAGAAACTATAATTTTGGGGAGAAAAATATGGTAGGTTCAGTACCACCAGTTAGTTTTGGCATATTAGGAAGGTGCCTTCCTCTCTTTTTGGTTCCAGTAACACTATGTCCTTCCACTCAAACACCATTAGGAATCCAACGATGTTTTGTCTGTAATCCTTTTGTAGCTGCGCTTTAAAAGACATATGTGTGTGTGTATGTATATATCTATAAAGAAAATATCTCTTAGTTTTAGTAAAACTGTACTTATTATCGCCCTAGTAATGTCTAGAGCAGCTCCACTGATGTTTCCAGATAGCAAGTTCATGCTTCTAAAGAGTCTCAGTTGCAGACAGATGTGGTTGGCATCCCATTATGGAGGTGACTTAATTCTAGATTTTCCTGTCTGGTTTTTTTGACAAGACTAGTTCACCTGCTGACTTGAAGGGAGGAATTGCATCATGCCTTTGAGCGTTTCTTCATGATGGAAATAAATTTCCTTCTTTTTCTCACTAAGCAAGCTCAGAGTTTAGAAAAGGTCAGTTTCCCATGAGTTTTCATGAGTTTCTTGTGCCAGCTGGTTGTGGTGCAATGCACAACAGATTTTAATCCTAGAAAAAGAGGCTATGACACAAAACAGTAAAACTTATTGTTAGAAAGAACACTGAAAGAAGTTTGTTCAGTCTTGCAGTTGGAAATCTGAAGATTTAAAAGGGAAGAAATGATATATTTATCTTGCCTATTTTGAAAAACAGCCCATCCTGCTGTTATCATTGGCTGTGCACTCACTGTCAATATACTTTGAATTATACCAAGAGAATGAATGAATGAATGTAAAGCACTGAGTTTCATGCACACTTTCATGCTCATATTTTCAGTACACACAGGTTGAAAAATCTCCTCTTTCCCCCAGTTCTATTGGAAAATTATCAAACACCAGGGCCACAAAAGTAGGTAGGATGATACCTATTAAGCTGCAATAAATAGTACAAATGCCAAGGTGTTTTTCTTCAGCTCTTTCTGAAGATTTTTCCTTCTGTAGATGCACCTTATAAGAATTGGATATATGTTTTCAATATTTGTCCTTATACATTTAATAAGAAGAAAATTTTATTCAATGAGCTATTTCTGTTTCAAAGCAATTCAGGACAACCAATGATCTTGTCCTTAATTGGCTGCTAATACCATTCCTTATCATAAAAATAGACTTTTGCAATTAGTATGTGGGATGGTTGCAGAAAGATGACTTGTACAATACTCATGAAAATATATTCTTGGAAGCCTAAGGAGCAAAAGGGCTGATTGTTTGAGCTCCAGTGTTCATAAATCGAAATGAACAAAAGATAATTGGAATAAATTAAGGTCTTTCACTACACTGCAAAATGTTTCAAAAGCAGTGTTAAATGAACTCACTGTAATGGAGTAACTCCAAGTTTGTAGATGTTTTAATCTTTGAGCAGTGTTTTAAATGTCATACTGTTACCTGACCTAACAAGTGGAAGAATGAGCAATCAACTCACTGGTGAGATGGCTCAGGCTCTGAACAGAGTTAACATATTCTGTTTGAGTTTTTTCTCTCTTTTATGCCTCTGTTGTGTACGGTAATAGGGGAAGCAGTCTTTCTAAAATTACACTTATTCATGTGCACAAAACAATCCAAAAACTAAGCTTTTCTTTAAGAGGTAATTGGAATGTGCTGCCAATGCATTCCTGTGAACCTTCTTAAATGAAACCCATGTGGAGCAGTGAGTCAGTACATTCACATTTCATTCCAGAGTTTAAGCCCCTACAGAGGTGTGAAGTAGCTGACAGGGTGTGAGAGCATTTTCAGTGTTTCTATGCAAATAATCAAACAGAAGATATTACTTCTGTTGCAAAAATCCTACATAATCAGAAAAAGCTTTCTATTCAGT